TATTATATATTAAAATTAAAATTAGCTCACTTTGGAGGATTGGGGAACTGTGGAGAGCCCAACAGGAAGTGCGTCTAATTTCTCTAAGTTGTGATTAAATGCGATGAGAGTAAACGATGCTATTGACAAAGTAAACTGATTTATTTTTTAAAACTTGGCAAACCGTGTTTTTTGAGAGCCAATGGCAAAAACTGTGCAGCGTTGTTTGCAAACTTTAACTTTACATATTATATATATATATACAAAAACAAACAAACAAACAAAAATCTATATATACTTATATAAATATATAAATATGTATACGTATGCATATACATATATATACATATGTATATATTTATCTATACATATATACTAAATGTTATTTGAGTAAACAACAAAACTGTCTGCTTACCAAAGAAAAAAGCTATGCATACTTTTAAATAAACACACAAATGAATACACTATAATAGAGGAAAATGGAAGAGCGCAAATATTTAAGAAGAAGACATCTTGGCAGAAAGCAAAGAAAAACAATTGAATATACCTTTAAGCATTTGTGTGTTGATAAGTGTCTGAACATAAAGGGCTAAAGCAAAATTATAAGAATACAATACAAGAAGTTAAAAGCAAAAAAGAAAAAAAAAAGAAAACAGAATGAAATAGAATGAGTGTGGAGCAAACATCTTTATAATACTATTACCTATAATATGAGATATGGCTATGTATTTAGCATAATTATATTTAATTATGTACACATATACATATATACACATATATGGTTTAAGCGAAATGCATATACATAAAAGGGCAAAAACAAAATTTAAAACAATAAATGATTCAATGTTGTGTATGTACATATAAATATATATATATAAATGGTAAAAAACAAAACAAAAAACAATGCATATGATTAAAGAATGTCTATCAATGTATGTGTGTTTGTGCTTGCGAAAGCAAATAGCACACATGAACACTCATCCATACAGAAATAAATAAAAATATAAATTTAAATGTATAAAACAACAAAATGCCAGAGATTAAACAAAGCTGCATAAAACAACAGAAATATGTTGAAAATGACAAGAGCCACACACACACACACTCACACCCACGCAGGCACCCACACACACAGACATACATGTAATTGCATTGGAATTAGCAGCAGGTCAAATAGAAAGAGCGTAAAACAGACGAATAATTATGAACAGCGTGAAAGCAGAATGGTATAATTATGTTAAGAGCCTTTCAAAGCCTATCCAATCCAATCAAATCGAACATAGCTCCCCCCTGGATAGCTCTCACTCACACACGCACACAGCAAAACCACACACATGCACTCACAGACACATGCACACACACAGACACACAATTGCACGTAAGGTGTGGAGGCGAACCAGTTAAAATATGCATAGTGAAATGCGGAAAAGCAGGAAAATAATCAAATAAAATGGAAATGTTAATCAAAAAATAAAAGCAGAAATAAATAAATAAATAAATAAAAAATGATTGCATTTTTTTTTTTTGCATTTATGGAATACCAATTAAGGTGGGCAGAGGTGAGTAAATCCTTAACGTCTATTATGGAGCGTTGATTGAAGCGTGTATGAGAACGACAAAGAATAACTGAGAAAGGACTTTAACCGAGTGCAAGACTGAGCGATACCCTTTAAGCATGCATACCTATAGCTATGCATGCTTCAGCGGATATGTGTATATAATTGAGGACATCAAGTGAWTAATTACAAATATATTTGTAAAAAAAAAAAAAATCAATTTTGGTGGTTAGTGTTAGTGGGTAGAAATTGAAAATAGTTTCTTTATTCCAGAAATTATAAGCAAAGTCTTCTATTGCTAATTTATTATTATTTGTTATTTAATAAAATCAAAGTCTTCTGTCTTCTACATATGGAATATACTTGCAACTGAACATAAATTTATGCAATATTGGGAAATTTGCAGATGGTTTCGAAACAATCGAATTTAAATTTTTGATAAAAAAGAATAAATTTCAGAAAATCAAATATAATAATAACA